GAAAAAGCCTTTGACAAAATTCAACATCCATTTATGATTAAAACTCTCCAGAAAGCAGGAAAAGAAGGAACATACCTCAACATAATAAAAGCTATATATGACAAACCCACAGCAAGCATTACCCTCAATGGTGAAAAATTGAAAGCATTTCCCCTGAAATCAGGAACAAGACAAGGGTGCCCACTCTCACCACTACTATTCAACATAGTTTTGGCCACAGCAATCAGAGCAGCAAAAGAAGTAAAAGGAATCCAGATAGGAAAAGAGGAAGTGAAACTCTCTCTGTTTGCAGATGACATGATCCTCTACATAGAAAACCCTAAAGACTCTACCAGAAAATTACTAGAGCTAATCAATGAATATAGTAAAGTTGCAGGATATAAAATTAACACACAGAAATCCCTTGCATTCCTATACACTAACAATGAGAAAACAGAAAGAAATTAAGGAAACAATACCATTCACCATTGCAACAAAAAGAATAAAATACTTAGGAGTATATCTACCTAAAGAAACAGAAGACCTATACATAGAAAACTATAAAACACTGATGAAAGAAATCAAAAAGGACACAAACAGATGGAGAAATATACCGTGTTCATGGATTGGAAGAATCAATATTGTCAAAATGGCTATACTACCCAAAGCAATCTATAGATTCAATGCAATCCCTATTAAGCTACCAACGGTATTTTTCACAGAACTGTAACAAATAATTTCACAATTTGTATGGAAATACAAAAAACATCGAAGAGCCAAAGCAATCTTGTGAAAGAGGAATGGAACTGGAGGAATCAACCTGCCTGACTTCAGGCTCTACTACAAAGCCACAGTCATCAAGACAGTATGGTACTGGCACAAAGACAGAAATATAGATCAATGGAACAGAATAGAAAGCCCAGAGATAAATCCATGCACCTATGGACACCTTATCTTCGACAAAGGAGGCAAGGATATACAATGAAAAAAAGACAACTTCTTTCACAAGTGGTGCTGGGAAAATTGGTCAACCACTTGTAAAAGAATGAAACTAGAACACTTTCTAACACCATACACAAAAAGAAGCTCAAAATGGATTAAAGATCTAAATGTAAGACCAGAAACTATAAAACTCCTAGAGGAGAACATAGGCAAAACACTCTCCGACATAAATCACAGCAGGATCCTCTATGACCCACCTCCCAGAATATTGGAAATAAAAGCAAAAATAAACAAATGGGACCTAATGGAACTTAAAAGCTTTTGCACAAAAAAGGAAACTATGAGCAAGGTGAAAAGACAGCCTTCAGAATGGGAGAAAATAATAGCAAACAAAGCAACAGACAAAGGACTAATCTCAAAAATATACAAGCAACTCCTGCAGCTCAATTCCAGAAAAATAAATGACCCAATCAAAAAATGGGCCAAAGAACTAGACATTTCTCCAAAGAAGACATACAGATGGCTAACAAACACATGAAAAGATGCTCAACATCACTCATTATCAGAGAAATGCAAATCAAAACCACAATGAAGTACCATTACACGCCAGTCAGGATGGTTGCTATCCAAAAGTCTACAAGCAATAAATGCTGGAGAGGGTGTGGAGAAAAGGGAACCCTCTTACACTGTTGGTGGGAATGCAAACTAGTACAGCCGCTATGGAGAACAGTGTGGAGATTTCTTAAAAAACTGGAAATAGAACTGCCATATGACTCAGCAATATCACTTCTGGGCATACACACCGAGGAAACCAGATCTGAAAGAGACACGTGCACCACAGTGTTCATCACAGCACTGTTTATAATAGCCAGGACATGGAAGCAACCTAGATGCCCATCAGCAGATGAATGTATAAGGAAGCTGTTGTACATATACACCATGGAATATTACTCAGCCATTAAAAAGAATTCATTTGAATCAGTTCTAATGAGATGGATGAAACTGGAGCCCATTATACAGAGTGAAGTAAGCCAGAAAGATAAAGAACATTACAGCATACTAACACATATATATAGAATTTAGAAAGATGGTAATGGTAACCCTATATGCAAAACAGAAAAAGAGACACAGATGTACAGAACAGACTTTTGGACTCTGTGGGAGAAGGCAAGGGTGGGATGTTTTGAGAGAACAGCATTGAAACATGTATATTATCTAAGGTGAAAGAGATCACCAGCCCAAGTTGGATGCCTGAGACAAGTGCTCAGGGCTGGTGCACTGGGAAGACCCAGAGGGATCGGGTAGAGAGAGTAGTGGGGGGGGGGGGCGGGGATCAGGATGGGGAATACATGTAAATCCATGGCTGATTCATGCCAGTGTATGACAAAACCCACTACAACATTGTAAAGTAATTAACCTTCAACTAATAAAAAGAAATGAAAAAAAAAGAAAATCTTAAAGACTCCACCAAAAATTCTGGCATAAGTAATCAACAAATTCAGTAAACATACAGGATTGATGTACATTTGAGGTACAGAAATTAGTTGCATTTCCATACATTAACATCTAACAGAGTTCTGTCTCCTAAAGAAGTCATCATGGCCCCTTAAGAACAGACTCATACATCAATGCTTCAGAAAAACCTATATGTATCTGATGCTGGGAAAGATTGAGGGCAGGAGTAGAAGGGAGCAACAAAGGATGAGATGGTTGGATGGCATCACCAACTCAATGGACACGAGTTTGAGTAAACTCTGGGAGATAGTGAAGGACAGGGAAGCCTGGCGTGCTGTGGTGCATGGGGTCGCAAAGAGTCAGACACGATTGAGCAACTAAACAGCAACCACAAATACCTAGATGGGAGGGCAAAACATCCTTTATTCATAATACAGGTTCCTTGTCACAGGATAAGCCCCATATGCTCTCCCAGAGTTTCAACAACCCTTCCCCGTTCTAAATCTTATACATGTATAAACTCATGGAAGATTTGGCAAAGACTTCAAATACATCTGCACTTATAGTCCTTAATTAAGCAGAATAATTCATGCAGCTCATTGAAAATGAGACCTCCAAAACATTCATTAAGAGCCCAGTGAATCTCTAAGGATAATATGTAAATGTAAATGACATCTGGTTTATATCAGTTTGTTCAAGTTTCAAATCAAGAGTGATTGCTGCTACACCTCTTGTTCCTCTTTTGAACCAGACCACAGTGACCAAAAGCTTCATATCTTTCTTCCCAATGAAACTGATGACAACTGAGAACCCTGCCCATCCCACTATTTCATTTCCTGGTCCTTGAGGATTCCTGGGAATAATCAGCATTAAGCAACACTATCAGTTCTACTCCAACCAACATATCACTGCATGCAGCCATAAATCTCTAGGAGATAAAACACCATACACACACGGGAGGAAAATATATATACCAGTTTTCCATATTTGTTTTTACTCCCTGCAATGTTGACTATTCAGTAGTGCTATTATTACAATAATTTCCCACATAAGTAACCTCACATCAAATTTGAATAGGTCCCTATGAGGTCAGAAATAATTGGGTGATCCGATCCCATTGGCTATGTCAAACAGAGTAACTTTCCAGGCTAAGTAGGGCAGAAGAGAAAGAAAAGCTTGAGTCCCACAGTGGCAGAAATTGCTATTGGCTGTGACATGGATTCGAATATCATCTCCCATCAGAAATCCCCACTCGATACCAGTTGCAAGAAATGACATCATCAGACTCATGAGTAAATGGCACAGAAGGGACAACTTGCGTCATTCCATATATGTTTACGTTCAAATCACCTCCTCCTTCCTTAGATTACAGCTGGTGGAAACTAGCATGTAATCAAAATTTTATTAGATATTAAGCACCACAAGAGGCTTTGCACAAGCATAAGCTGTCTCAGACTGGTCTTCCCAAGGGGCACAACCAAGCCAATTGTAAACCTTGTTTCTGTCCAAAGACACATTTCTCCTCTGTGTCCCGTTTCATTCTTGTCAGACACCCAGAATGAACACCAGTGAGCACCACGTCTGGATTACGCTACATTCGAATATTAGGGAGACAAGATTTGTGCATTGGTGAGGTCTATGTCAGCTGTCTCTCCTTCAGGGTCAGAAGCCTGAGATTGAACAGGGCTCCCTCTCAGAAGCAAAAGAGAAATAGCAAGGTTCTAAACCTTAACGTTTCACAAATACTTACAGACATATTAATAAATGTTGAGGCCACTCATCATGGAGGATGAAAACTATGAACCTCCAGGGCATAAAGATATCGTGTTCATGTGGCAACAAGTCAGCTGTTGGTCCATATTGGCATATGGCATTTCAAATTAAGCCGTCTTTGTCAAAGGAGCCAGGAATTTTATAGTTCTTTTGTATGAATATTATTGAGGGTTAAGATGATTCTGAAAAGACAAATCTGTCAGAAATCTCAGTCTATGACCTCAGCAACACCCTCTCTTCTTTTTCAACCTCTTCAACGCATCTTTGATGTCTTTGTTTCTCAGACTGTAAATCAAAGGATTCAGCATGGGAATCATCACCGTGTAGAAGACCGATGCGAATCTGTCGAAGCTGGAGGAGCCTCCAGAACTGGAACTCAAGTAGACAAACATGCCTGAGGCATAGAAGAGGCTCACTGCCGTCAGGTGGGAAGCACAGGTGTTGAAAGCTTTGGATCTGCCTTTCACGGAAGTGATCTTCAAGATGGAGATGGCAATGTAGACATAGGATACCATGATAACGGAAACATTTATTATCCCAAAGATCATGGTCAATAGAGCAGTGAAGAGTTGTGCAGAGAATGTGTCGGTGCAGGACAGGACTAATAGCTGGGGCATGTCACAGAAGAAGTGGTTGATGACATTAGGCCCACAGAACTGGAACTGCAACATGAAACACAATTGGGATATAGAAGCAGAGAGTCCAGCCATGTAGGATCCCAGCACCATCCGACCGCAGAGAGCGGGCGACATGACTGAGGAATAGAGGAGTGGGTTACAAATGGCAGCATATCGGTCATAAGCCATGGCGGTCATGAGGCAAGACTCACTCAGCCCCATGGTGGAAAATACAAAGTACTGAACAACACAGCCCACAAAGGTGATAGTTTGCCACTCCTGGAAGAAGTCGTAAAGCATCTTGGGGGCTGTGGCAGTCACGTAGCAGATGTCCATGAAGGACAGGTTACTGAGGAAGAAGTACATGGGGGTGTGGAGGTGGGAGTCTATTCCTATTAAGATGATGAGCGATAGGTTCCACGTCAGGGTCAAAATGTATATTACCAGGAATACAGCAAAAAGTACTGCGATGATTCTGGGAAAATCTGAGAATCCCAAGAGGATAAAATAAGTGATCTCTGTGATATTTCGTCCTCCAATCATTGGCTTGACACTCCTAAAATCAGAAAAGAGACCAGAGGATACATTGCCTACTCATGACATGGTCGCATTACAAGCCTCATATATACCATATTTTCCCCCACTGAGCACTGGAAAAGTGGAAATGATACAGTGTCCTAGGGAAAGATGCCAACTTTTCATCTTGAATTGTCAAGAAATGCATTCTCAGTGTTCCATGGAATGCTCCAGGCCAGAATACTGGAGTGGGTAGCCTTCCCCTCTCCAGGCGATCTTCCCAACCCAGGGGTTGAACCCAGGTCTCCCGCATTGCAGGCGGATCCTTTACCAGCTGAGCCACCAGGAAAGCCCAACAAGACTGGACTGGGTAGCCTGTCATTTCTCCAGCAGATCTTCCCAATCCAGGAACCGAACTGGTATCTCTGCATTGCAGGCAGATTCTTTACCAGCTGAGCCACAAGGGAAGCCCAATTATTTTATGAGGTCTCACAAAAATTCACAGGCATATTTTTTAAATTGACTCAAACTTTGAAATAAGGCAAAGTCTATCTCTGCCAAAGCAATTGAAATTCTGTGCTTGTATATCACAAAGAGACTTTTGGTTAAAACAATGAGGATTTTAAAGACCTCTGATGATTTAATATGTATAACTGTTGCTTTATAATAATAAAAGGATAAGCAACATCATTTCAGGATAAATTTGAACTAGCCCTTCTTCCCATGATGGTCACCCAGATGGGTTTTCAAGAATTTCTTCTTTACCCATAAAAAATTACCTTGTTTATAATAACACCTCAATTTTTTACATATGTATTCAATATATCATCTCCAAAAACAATCTGGAAATTTACCTTAATTTATATTACCAATATACTTTTGGAGAGTGCAGCATGTGTGCCCAATAGTTATGAAATAAGTCTTCTTAGGGAAGCCGCATACAAACTGTTCTAAAGGGAGCCTAGTACAACTCACTACCAGCCCCAATTATTGCCCTAATATTAGAATATTCTGCATGGCAGGCACCATCAGTTCCATGGACATGAGTCTGAGCAAATGCCAGGAGATAGTGAAGGACAGGGAAGCCTGGCATGCTGCAGTCCATGGGGTCACAAAGAATCGGACACAACTGAGCAACTGAACAAGGAAACAACTAGTACTGTGGTTGAAGTTCCAACTTAGAGATATAGTTCTCAGTGACATAATCAAGATGACAACATAGGTCACTCCTGACTTCAGCTCCCCTCACCAGAAAAAAGAAAAGTGAAAGTTGCTCAGTCATGTCTGACTCTCTGTGACCTCCTGGACTGTAGCCTGCCAAGCTCCTCTGTCCGTGCAATTCTGCAAGCCATAATACTGGAGTGGGGAGCCTATCCCTTCTCCAGAGGAACTTCCTGTCCCAGGAATCGAACCAGGGTCTCCTGCATTGCAGGTGGATTCTTTCCCAGCTGAGCGACCAGGGAAGCCCCAACAGAAAAATAATTAGCAGTTATTCGTAGACATGGTACCAATGAAAAAATCCTAAAGTGCAGGGATGAGGCTGAAGCGTGGCTGTGAACTAGAGAGATGGAGAAAGACCACATTAGGAGGGTGGAGGAGCAGACACATTTGACTGCATTGCCCCTCCCCTAGCTACACCAAGAGGACCCTTCTCGGGCTACAGTTTCTTTATGGAAAACAGAGAGAGCTCAGTGTAGACCTCCAGCTCGCCCGGCATTCCGGGTCACTTCTTAGGAAGACCCACTCTGGTCTCACATCCTAGAAACCATGTGGGAATCTTTGGGGTGTGACCACTGAGAATGCCACTGCAGCAGAGAGAGACAGGCCTTGGAACAGTCAGGGCTTGGATCTTGGCAGACTGAGTTTCAGCAGTTTTGCCTGATTTGGGACCCCGAAAAATGAGCCTTGCTATCCTGGGAGCCTCTTCTCCTGCACCTACGATTCATAACCCCATCTACTACTGAGGTTATTCAAGCATGGTAGAGCACTGAGAAAATTCCATCACCCAGGAGCTCGTGAGGAGTGTCCAGACAGGCGCTCTGCCCGTTTGCATGGCTCCATCTGGCCAGAGGACTTTGTGTGCAGTTCTGCCTCATTTGTTTCCCGAACAAGGAGCCTTGCCAGTCTTGGGCCTGTTCTGTGGTCGTGTCCTGGCCAGAAGGATGATGTGTAGCCGTAACCGCTGCTGAACACTACCTTCAGCCCCACCGTCCAGGAGAACGAACCAAAGCACATGGGAAATTGCATAGCCCATCCCACAGCCCTGCTTGCAGTAGTGCGTGAGCAGACAGCCTGACCTCTCTGCCTCTCTGCAGAGCAGCGCTGGGCCCCATGTGGCCCAGAAACCAAGGCAGCAATCATATCAACTATTCCCAGCCAGCAGCATCTGCACCCCAGCCTCAGAGCTTGGGCAATGTCCTCACTCTAAAATAGACTTTGATCAACATCACTATCAGTTCAGTTGCTCAGTCGTGTCTGACTCTTTGCGACCCCACAAATTGCAGCACATCAGGCTTCCCTGTCCATCACCAACTCCTGGAGTCCACCCAAACTCATGTCCATCGAGTCAGTGATGCCATCCAACCATTTCATCCTCTGCCATCCCCTTCTCCTCCTGCCCTCAATCTTTCCCAGCATCAGGGTCTTTTCAAATGAGTCAGTTCTTTGCATCAGGGGGGCAAAGTATTGGGGTTTCAGCTTCAGCATCAGTCCTTCCAATGAATATTCAGGACTGATTTCCTTTAGGATGGATTGGTTTGATCTCCTTGCTGTCCAAGGGACTCTCAAGAGTCTTCTCCAACACCACAGTTCAAAAGCATCAATTCTTCAGTACTCAGCTTTCTCTATAGTCCAACTCTCACATCCATACATGACCATTGGAAAAAACCATGGCTTTGACTAGATGAACCTTTGTTGGCAAAGTAATGTCTCTGCTTTTTAATATGTTGTCTAGGTTGGTCATCACTTTTCTTCCAAGGAGCAACTACCTTTTAATTTCATGGCTACAGTCACCATCTGCAGTGATTTTGGAGTCCCCAGAAATAAAGTCTGTCACTCTTTCCATTGTTTCCCCATCTATTTGCCATGAAGTCATGGGATCAGATGCCATGATCTTAGATTTCTGAATGTTGAGTTTTAATCCAGCTTTTTCACACTCCTCTTTCACTTTCATCAAGAGGCTCTTTAGTTCTTCACTTTCTGCCATAAGGTTGGTGTCATGTGCATATCTGATGTTATTGATATTTCTCCTGGAAATCTTGATTCCAGCTTGTGCTTCCTCCAACCCATTCTTTGACAGCTAGCCCAATTGATCAAGGTCACTGCCAGATGATCTATCTAGCACTCCAAGCTGAGCTGACTGGATAAGGGCTGTCTCTACTAAAGCAAGTCTAGAAAATCTGGAAGTAGAGATCAAAAGTGCAGACACTAACAAAGGAGTCCAGGATCATGAAAAATTAGGTAAATATGACACCACTAAAGGAAACTTATAAAGCTTTAATAGCTTTATCAGAATCTGCTGGTAAAGAATCCACCTGCAATGAGGGAGACCTGAGTTCGATCCCTGGTTTGGGAAGATCCCCTCGAGAAGGGAATAGCTACCCATTCCAGTATTCTGGCCTGGAGAATTCATGGACTGTAAAGTCCATGGTGTTGCAAAGAGTCAGACATGACTGAGTGACTTTCATTAAACGAATAAAGATCTATAAATTGTCTGACAAAGAACTCAGCATAATTCTCTTTAAAACATTTGGTGAAATATAAAACTCATAAACAGACAACCGGATGAAATTAAGAAAACAATACATTACCAAAATGAACAAAATGTGTTAAACAAAGAAAGAGAATGCAGTAAAAAAAGAAAAAACAGAAATCCTAGAGCTGAAGAAATCAATAGAGACTTTGAACAGCACACTCAATAAAGCAGGAGGGAAAACAATGTAAAAGAGTGAGGGTTAGAAACCCCAAGAGATTTATTGTGGGAGAGCATCACCATCAAGACAAAGACATGTGCATTAGCTAACCTCTCTCTCTCTCTGTCTCTCTCTCTCTCTCTCTCTCTCTCTCTCTCATGCACACTGTGTATGAACTAAACACAAAGGTCAAAAGTAACAAATGGTATGGTTTTCAATTTCTCCTTTGCTTGTACAGTGTCTTTCAACTTTCTGCAGCTCCTGTATTTTGTAATAAGAACAAGTCACTAAGATATATGCATCTTTAATCCTTAATAGCAAAGGGAGACAGAGAGACAGGGAGAGGAAAAATGGCAGAGAGAACGAGGAGGAATGTCAGAGACAATGGACTTTCCTGACTTTTACCTACTGGCTGTGCAACACTTAGCTAGTTATTAACCTCCCAGTTGCCTCGTCTCTAAATGGGACTAGTGATCCTTTACCACCTCATTGGGTTGTTGCAGGGACTGGCGGACATAAAGCGCTCAAAGAGCAAGAGATGAGGAAACGTCAGCGGTTGTCATTTCCTCGATCATTCCTCACCATGAAGGGAAAAACACGGCAGGACTAACCCTGAAGTAGCAAGGAGTTCTTCATAAAATTATTTCCTGAATCAAATGGCTTCTGAACCTCGATTCTAGAATATTGTTAATAAGTGATTGTACTTGTTTCTATATGGCATTATTTCCCAATCAGCAAAATTGCAACCTCTGATTTCTGCTTTTTATGTTCCACCAAGTAGAGTGGGACTTGTGATAGTTACTATGGACTGTATGTAGACTAGTGGACAGGTTTTACTGTAAGCATCTCATATACTAATATTGTGCTACTCAAGAAATATATGCTTGATACATTAAGAAATAATTCTTTTACCCATTTCTGGATATGAAAGTCAAAATACATTTGTTGCATTTCAATTTATAGTTTTATGAACTTTAAAATCTTTCTGTTTACTCTTACAATAGAGTACTGCCAACATACTTCTCAGCTGTTTTGTCCAAGATGTGTAGGATTCCATGAGAATGTTTTGAAAATATAAACCCTCACCCACATTCCCAGTATATCAACATACTTAAT